ACAATGGGAACAATATAAATAAATAAAATGAGTGTGTCTGATACAGGAATAAGCTGTAAATGTGGTTTCTTACATCCATTTTTTTTTTCTTCAGAAAAGCGTGAAGTAAAACTAATGAGACACTTCTATTACATCGTAGCTCTCCTTGGGGACCTTATTACCGTATATGAATGTAATACATTTCTGTGACTGAGTGACATATTTTGGATCTCGGGAACATGGCTGTGATTGTATGACTTTATTTTCGTTGCAATTGAGCCCTTCACACATGCATAGAGAAAATAAGGGTAAGCAGTCCTTTCAGTTTGACAAATGAGTAGAAAGTCCTAGAGCTGATGTACAGCCGCTTCAGCCTGCACAGAAGGCAGGTGCATTGCATTCATGTTTTATGTATAACATATTTATCAACACTCGCCCCCTCAATACTTTTGTACTGCAAAAACTGTTAAAAATATTCTGCCAGAAAAGCCCTTGAAACCCATAGAGCAGACTTAATTTTACCAGGTATGGTGATCGTTGCTCTGCTGCGATTATGGCGAAGCTTTCAGAGGTCACCGTACTACAGGCTACTGCAGTTCAGAAGTTTGGATTTAAAAATGCAACAAGCAGTATTATATATACATCCAGTATTTGTGTGGAGAGCGTCAGCATGCATAGTCCACACATGCAGAGAGAAATCAGCACAGGAAAGCCCCATCGTGTGCGTCTAAGACAGCAAAGCAGACTGCAGATGGGATGAAACGTAGCACAGCTGCCATTTTCACCTGGATATGACACTCCATGACTGCCTCAGGCTTAGATTTATTCCCTGCTAAAACGCAGCAGTGAAAGATGTGTGAGGATGCCTGTAACAGGGCAGCCCTTAGCGGCTGGAAACACAGTGAGACAGACCAAGGCAAGTGTAGTGGAACAAAGTATTTATTTGCTATATGGCTCTCCTTAAAACAATTAACTTGTCGAGCTTCTTCACAGCACAAAAAAAAATCCGTCCTCTAATGACAACTGGCAGTCTTAAATATGTTCAGCTGTCACAGACTAAACCATTATTCCACTCTCAGGTAAATTCTTAAATCCCAACCTTCCACCACAGTATACAATATATCAATAAGAATAAATAAATACATAAATACATTTTCACATTTACATATTAATAAATATTTCACACTTTAATGTTACACCAAACCCAATATTATAAAAACCCAGAAACCCAAGCACAACAAGATTCACCACACTCTCTTTACCAATGGTCTCTCCCGGAACCTTTAAATGGTGTCTGGACCCCCAGGGAAACATTTGCCCAAACACCTTGAAGAGGACACAGGCAAGAAAGGTGAGTAATCATTAACTTACAAACACTTATTTGCACCACTTTTATCCCTAGATTTCACACACACATTTGCATTAGTTTTCCTTATTGGTAAACCTTAATCACAATCTCAATCACCATTCTTCTCTCCTGACAGACAACCACCACATTCCTTGATGAGGAGCAGCTGTGCAGGATCTGAAATAAGGCTACCAACTGATTTTAAAATTCCCAATAAATAGTCAATAAATATTTAAAATCTTCTTGTGTGCAAATCCATGCTTAAAGTGCAATGCTAAATAAAGTGCTTGATAAGGTGCTTTTAATAAAGTGAAAGGTGTGCTCTAAAGTGCTATACATATAATATAAATAAATGCAGTAAGGGAGTCCTCTTCCTTACAATGCCCGAAGGAAGACCGCAAGACTTCCAGCTCTTGTTGGCATTTGAGCCCATTTAGGAATTCTAGCATTTGAGTTAGGGATGAGTATAATGGGATAGCTGCAGTCCAGCCTGAAAACTGTAGATGTACAGCCTCTCTTAGTTCAGATCCACAACATATGGTAATGTTATATTGTTATGAATTCCCCGTGATGCATTCTGTTTTGCACATCAGGAGACTGCATGGAGATCACGGTCCACTTAACATCGACGGATCCTCTGTGGAGGTCGTCAAGAGCACCAACTTGGTGTTCACCTGGCGGACAGCCTCTCCCGGTCCCTCAATACCAGCTCCATAACTAAGAAGGCCCAACAGCGTCTCTACTTCCTGCAGAAGCCGAGAAAAAACCATCTCCCAACACCCACAGAGGGACTATCAAGAGCTTCCTGAGCAGCTGCATCGCTGCCTGGTATGGTAACTGCACCATATCAGATCGCAATACCCTACAACGGATAGTGAGAACAGCTCAGAAGATCATTGGAGCCTCTCTTCCCTCCATCACAGACACTTATCTCTTAAAAAAGAACAAAAATACTTTTGAATTAATATCAGTAGAATAAAGGACAAAAACAACTATCTGGAGTGCTGGCCATCTTCATCTTTGGGGTACCTTCTGGTGCAAGTAAAAAAAAAAAGATTTTCTTTGTCATTTCTTTTCAGAGATGAAAAACATCATCTAAGATTTAAAGAGCACGAGCTTCATTCTGCACTCAGCATGGACTGAAAATTCAAGCTTTGTTGTAGTTTCAGCCACCTGGCACACCATCCCTCTCCCCTCAGTCTCACTGTAGAACAACAGTGTAGCAGCTGTTGCTCAGTTAGGCTGGGCTGGTGGTTGGCTAGAGTTTATGATTTAATGTGCTGCTCATTTGTTTTCTCCTGGAACAAGATACTAAACCCCAAATTGCTTCCCTTTGTTCCTACATGGAGACCTCTGCTCACTGATGGTTGTCATTTTGGGAATACAGGAAGCTGAACTGGAACAGGATAGTTGAGGACCAACATGGATTTAACACTTATTTACCAGGACTATTTATAAACTGTAAGAGAGCCAGAGAGTTAGTTCCCCATTTTCAGAAACTCAGGATCTAATTGAACAAACAGACATAATTTTAAATATAGGAATTATTTGTTATTCTTGAATTCAGTTAGTGACTGAAGTCTAGATCCCATGGACACCAAATACTGTTTCCTCCCTTATCTGCACTGCCAGGCCTTTACAGCAGCTACCTTAGTTACTGCTTGATCGCGTGTCTTTCTTCTGTATTTTATATTTAATAACTGAAAAGCTGCTCTCTCAGCTCCACGTTAGGTTGGGGACTGAAGAACATCACTTTTCTTCACCTTGAGAAACTCTTGGGTTGCATTTGCTTTATGCTTTGGGTCTTTATTTTTTGCACTGTGTCAGATAGTTTTGCAGCGTTTAGTTGAATCTGAGCAGAGAGTACAGCATGGTACACTTCACATTTCATCTTACTACTATTATCACATCATCACTCCATTAAATGGCTGCCTTCTGATGTACCTGGGGTTCTGTTAGATCTCAGAAAAACTGCTTTTATTACTAGACATCTTGGACATGGAATAATTTACAGAAAGACCAAAATTTAAACATGCCTTTAGAAGTATAATGAGGAATGCAGTGAAAGATTTGTGGATGTTTCTTTTATAAAATCACTTAATGATTTAACATTTTATGTTATGGGTATATTTATATTGTGTTTTAAGCTGTGGTTTTAGATTTTATGTTGCATTTGTAGCATTTTTAGATTCTTTAGGTTGTATGGCTGCAACCTCAGTCAGGGCTATCTTGTAAAAGATAATGTGATCTCAGTGGGACTTCCTGGCAAAATAAAGGTAATAATAATAATAAACAGTAGTGGCTATACATCCTTATAGTATAATATTGGCTCCAGCAATGATATGTTATTGCTTTTCATGTTTCTCTCCTTGCCCAGACTTTTCTATTCCCATCATTCTAGTACAAGATTTTTATGTATTTTCAGAAACCTGCAGGCTCTTTTAGATGTCTCCTGGTAAATGTGTAATGGGACCTCCGTGAGTGTAGCTAGTGGTTTGCATTTCATTGTTCTCTGTATTTGAAAAACACTTTTGTAGAACTTTTAGTAAATTATAGAGCTTGACAATGATACACTTGTCTCCTCAGCAGTGATCTTATCTTGGTCAGATAATTGTCAACTATGGAAAAAATTCTGTCTTCATCCACTTTACCTCCTTTGGTTTTTGAGTCTTTTGGTGTTGCTCAGCTCGCCATTCCTTCTTTTACGAATGAACTAAATTATTGATTTGGCCCTCCTAAAGCCTTTTCTATCTCTGATAGCTTCTTGTTCTCGTCAAATTCAGAAATTACAACGAAAAACTGTAAAATACAAACTCGACACTTTAACTTCAGATTTGATTTCTGCTTCATTTGTCATGAACTAAAAAGGGAATGGGCTTCATCTGGCCATGAAACTGCAATCAATGGTCCAATAAATAATGTGCCTCAAAAATGGGAGCCTGTGTATAAAAACTACTGTAAATTTCAAAGATTTAATGCACAGTTGTTGTAATAATTAAAGCTGAAAACCTGCACTTCAATCACTTCGTGTCTATTTGATTTAAAATCGATTGCAGTGGTGTACAGGGCCAAAACTATGAAAACCGTGTCAAACAAATATAGAACTAGCTGTAGATGCAAGGACGGCCTCGTACAAAAACCACTTGTCTTTGCAGATCTCTACAACTCTGCAGGGTTTTTACTGTCCTTCGGCTCATTGTTTTGGCTTTATGGTCAGAAATATTTTCTGCTTTCATTCATTCTCACTGCTAGTTTCAAGTAGCAGCTCTAGCAACTGTTTACAAGTAGGCTTTGGTAAATCCACTGCAGAACACCTGCTTACTGTTTAATGAGAGACCCCTGGCGAGCTGGTGGAGGACAAAAACGGAGCTAAAAGTAGAATTTTTATAGATATTTCTATTAGCTGGGCGGAAATAGCCTACCTTAAATTGGATGTTGTTTACTACATCATAAGAAGTTTAGGGTATTGCCGAGGAAAGCGAGACTATAGTTTAAATACATGAAAATAAAATAAATAAATAAAAATCTTAACCAAACACAAACTGAGTAAATCAAATAGTAAAATATTGTAGTAGAAACGAATAATTTTGAAATGTGCTGAAATGTATTTCATCATTCATACATTTCAATTCAGCTGAGGTGGGCTGAATTTCTAAGCAGGTGACTCTTTTCCGTTTTTATACACGGAACGTGAATGCAGCGCAAAACTGCCCGAGTACGAGAGCGAGAGAGAGCGCAGATGAGCCCCAATGATCAGAAGCCGGGTCTTCTTTCAAACACACACACTCATACACACACTTCGCTCTACATCCCTCACACACAAATGCCAGCACACTCACACAAACGCGATCCAGTAACCACAGCTCCATCAGTCCAACCCGCTCGCTAGTGGCTGCCTTCGCCGACACGCAGAGCTGTGGCAGGAGCTCCTGCTGGCTCTGTAGCACAAAGCAGAGGTGAAGGGGAATCCGGGGACTCAATTTGGGAGGCAAGAGATAATTCCGCGACATTGCTGGGAGGAGCAGAGAACGGTGAGGGTAGGTGAGTGAATGCACTTCGGTCCAGCTGCTGCTGCTGCTGCGGGAAGAGGAGGAGGAAGAAGAAGCCCAGCATCTGGAGAAGCTGGAGGACCAGCACTGTAACATCATCCTGCACAGACTCGGAGGAGACGGCCAGCGGAGACCAGGGTACCTCCAGGCTCAGATGTGGAGGGAGAGCCGGTCAACTTGTACTCCTGGGTGAGTCAAGTACCATCTTTTCTTGCAATCAAACAAACACTTTTCCACACTCCTCTGCGATCCATTAATGTGCCACGAAACGAGACCGTGCACATGGCGTTTATCATTTGTGTCCCTCTTCTTTGCTGCATGTCTTTCACTCGTTCTTCCACTTTGCTATATTCAACTCGCACCTTAACAGACAACCTGATGAGCCCAAGGCTGCACCTGTAATCATCCACACATCCCATCCCCTCAGACACTTCTCACTCTGTTATGGTGCATTCCCGGCTGATTGATTTGCTCTCTAACTCAGTTGGACATCAGGTCTCATTATCTCGTGCTTTTCTATTGTCAACCTCGGGATGGTGTGCTAGTGCAACCATGCAAGCAGAGCCACTGTGTGTGTGTCATTGGTTACCATTTGTCAATTAGGTTTTGATGATCTAAACGAAGGAAGGGGGGAGGCAGCCTTTGATCGATCCCTGCAGTTGTCTCGGTGCGAGAAGCTCGGTGCCTGTCCTCCGCCTGGCATGTCTTAAACCCTCTGTCGGTGTTTGCTCAGCCCTCTCCCAGCTCTGTTTTTACTGCGCCTCTGCTCTGTTCTTAGTGCAGTCTCTGGAAGACGGATGATTATTTTAGGAAAATTCTGAATATAGTTTTGCTTTAATCTCTTTCCTCCTCTGGTCCAGCAGTGCTTGCATACATACTGTAACTGGCTGCTTTGTTGCTGAAATTGCATATTTGATGTGTTTCTGTTTTTAAGATAGTACAGGAGGGAATTGTAATTCCTGTGAGTTTGATCATCTGAGTATTTTGGGGGTGACTTGTTGACAGAGGAGGATAATGAGATGCAACAAAGGTCCCTGAAAGTACTCGAGTCCAAGCCTTTCGTACTACCCTGTTTTTATACCGTGACATTCACATCTCTCAGCCACAGGCGCACATTTATTACATTGATTCAGTCAGTCTGAGACTGGCCCTTTCAATGATTTTTAACCGTAGTGTCACTGCATGCTTGCCCCAGTTAATTGGTCACCGTTAAACCAATAAGAGGTGGGTAGAGAGCCGCAGAGTCAGTAATTTCACCAACATTCAAATGGAAATCATTTCAAACACCATGTTCCCTCTTTTCATGCGCTGTGACTGAAGAATTATGTTTGGTGTCCTGCAGTGGGGTGCCTTAGCTTTTGTTCAGTCACTGGCTGCTTTCGACCTGTTGAAGTGTCCTTGGACACTGGGTTCATGTTCGTCACTGGGTTCATACAGTAAGGGTCACATTGCAAATGCTTAATCTGCTTAAGGTACTCTAGGTGCAGTTCCTTTAACATCTTACATTCTTATTAATCCCAGGATTATTACTGGATTTATGCTGTGCATTTCGTGCCTCCATGTGTCATCTTATAGATCTCTGCTGAGAGCAGTTACTTTAAAAAAACAAAATCAAGAAAAAAACAGCAACTAAAGTGAAGGCAATTATGAAACGGCTCTTAATGGTACCCGAGGTGCCACTTAGCCTCCTTATTTGACAGATTTATGTGTCAGTAATGAAATGTCTGCAAAGTTCCTCAGAGTGCATTATTAAAACAGGCCTGTTAGCCTTGTCCTTTACTACGCCTACACTTACCTTCTCATTTTGAACCTTTCTGTTGCACATAAAGCTGTCATCCAAGCTCAACAGTCACATTGGCTCAGCTTAACAGTGCCTCATTGTTTTCAACTCCACAGTATTTATGAGGGCAATAAAACAGAGATGCATCCACTGTCAGCAAGATGAGGGCATCGCTGCTCTTACAGGGAGGAGAGTGCAGAGGGAGGAAAAGGGAGGAGGTGGCATGCGATGCGGGACTGAAAGGAGAGAGTGCTCCTGTGAGTGGCTGTCCGATACCTGCAGGCCGGCTGGCGTGTCATCTGTCTGCGTTAAGATGTCCAGCTGGAATGATCGTCGGCCTGCGTCCGCTGGCCGGCCTCCCACAGACTACTGTAATGCCATTACAGACATTCAGACGGGGCTGTAACCTTAATGCAGAGCTTAGAGAGCACGTGGGCGTTACAAGTCTTTTTTAAAAATGAGATTTCTTCATTTCGCTTTTGCTGTGACATTAGTGCCTGGTTGACCTCGTTACCTTAGAGCAGTAGTCCTATTTTGCCAGATGGACCACAACAGCCCTGTCAGATCAGTCCAATCGCATCCTCGAACTGAGTGCAGTTGGGATAAAATCTGACCAAAAAGATGGATTTTATTCACCTTCTAGTTGAAGGGAATTTTATCAATTTATCTGTTACTATTAGCTAATTCTGTACTCTGTCAGATGGCTAATCCTTTATTTAACATGTTAAACCAAATATTCCAGCTGCCTATCGCCACTTTTAGCTATTTTAAATAATATTTATAGTAGGGATCTAATGATGTAGCTCGGAGATTAGACCTGCTAGTGCTCACAGAGTACTGGCTAGAATTTAATGAAACTTACACGCAATGATCAAGGTCAAGGTCATTCTGCTTGTCACAAAAAACACTCCTCTTAGAGTAATGCTCAGCTTGTAGTTTCCTGTGTGTGACTGTTTGCAATCCTCCTTGACTTTTTAATAGATTTAAATTTTCATTAGTTTATAAAATACCTCCAACCAATGACTGCGAAGCCTATTACTTTCTTTCTGTACCTCACACATTATAATGACCTGTGAATTGTGATGATCATGAGTCGGACGCGCTACTACATCAGTGACGTTCTGGATTAATCATTTATTCATTACTTATAGAGGGTAAGATTTCCTTTATTCATCCCTGTAGGGAAGCTAGTTCTCCTCTTGTAACCCATCCTTATATTAGTAGTAGTTGCCAGCCACCGTGCCTTGTTCGAGAGCACATGACAGGAGAAAAAGTCCTGTATGTTTTTTTGATGCTGGGGGAAACTGGAGCTCCTGGAGCTACGCATTATACTATTTCACTGTTTATATATTACATTCAACTAACTATTTTAAGATTGCTCGAGCAGCTTGACAGTCTTTACGTAACCGTGGTTGCTGCAGAAACACCTGTGTCCCCTGGATGGCAATTACTGATCTCAATATATCACCTTATGAATGTGAACTGATCTTCAAATGGCATCTAGAATAATTTAGTGAAATTAGACTCTTGCATGTGAGTGTGTGTGTGTGTGTGTGTACCTTTTTCCAGGGCTTAATCAAGGCCAAATGTGAGCGTTTTTATTCAAAATTATGCTCCCTGACCTGCGGAAAATAGGCTGAAGCTTTAGACGAATTAGTACGGCAGTGCAGTCATGAAGTGCCACACGCTGCAGTTTGTCATTGCAGGGCTGCTTATTTATGTGACTCTAATGGAGCCGCTAGTAACTACAGAGGCTTTTGTTAGATTTTTTTAAAAGCCATAGAATCAAAGCCAAAGAAATAAATCAACCCAGAACAATACAGATGCAATTTCTGTCACGGCCCACTCAGAAAATATATCTACCTTCAGTTTAAAACTACATTAGCTAATGTATTTTCTTTTTATTGCACAGCCTATTTATAATACCTCAACTTCTTGTATCATCTGTGTACTTTTGAAATTTTGCTCGTTTAAGCTGATGATGATTTTTCTAGAGTGACTTTGGAGGACACAGGCGAGATCCAGAGAGGAAACGATGGCATGAGAGAAGTGGTTTTTGCACTCTGGATGCTGCATAGTTTATGTTTTCCGTGGCCTCTGGATGAAAGAATGTGTGATGAGACGGTCTTAGTAGTTACGTAAATAATAAGAGGAATCAAATGAGTCTCACGAGTGTCTGATTTTACACAGTTAAGAGGAGTTCAGAGATCACACTTTGTCTCATGCTTCTTGCATGAAGTCAGTTTGTTTGCCCAGCGCTCCTTAGGATGAGAACGTTTGTGGCGATGAATGCTTGACACCAGGCCAGCTGGATCTAAAAATGAAATCATCTATAAAACAACACAGAACAGAGAGATCAACTATTTAAACCTCTAATGTGTCTGAGCTGATACTTAACGTGTGTGTCAGAGAGCAAAGAGTCTCCATCACTGAGCCGTGCTAGGGCTTGAAGAGGAGGGTTTCTGGGGAGCTTATATACTTGTCAGACTCTCCGCCTCATTTCATTTTATGTATTTCTGCTGCTGCTGGCAGCTTAAAGTGGTGCGACCGGACGGCTATAAAACAAAATTTCTCAATATGGATCGACAATCATGGCTGAGATTGCTGGAGAAAATGGAGTTCAGGGCTCCTGCTCGGTGTCTCATCAGAGATGTTATCCTTAATAGCGTAAGAAATTATTTAAACAGGACTCTGAGGACTGCATATGGCAGTTCCTCAAAAAGAATGTCCTTAAATCAAGAATAATCCATCTGTCCAGTCAAAAATAATACATGATATATCATTAGCATAGCATTAGCAGTCTTGAATAAAGTAATAAGTGACACAGATAACTGTTTATTCAAGTTTTAAATTAGGTTTTAAATTGTATGCCAACTTCGTTCTGCTATTAAAAACGTAAAACATGGGCTCACTGTTGTGACATCTTTGGGCAGTCTGGTATGAAAACTGTCCGTTTACATCTGAGGTATAGATTCTGCATTTGACATCACTTGTTATGAGTTATCAGATGAAATGCTTGCAAAAGGAAACAACTAACCAGAGTAAATGTAAATGTATACTGTAATATTGGTTACCTGTCCTTTCTAACTGCTCAACCACCACCATAACACTTTATTCTCAGTCATAGCACTGAGAATAAAGTCACAGGAGTGATCAGCCTACCAAAAGTCTCTCAGGAGGTCACAGAAGAACCAGAACAACATCTAAAGACCTGCAGGCATTGTCTGGCTCTGTTAAGGTCAGATGTCATGACTCAACCATAAAAAAGAGACTTGGCAAAAATGGCCTCCAAGGAGAACACCACATCTGCCAACAAACATCTGGATGACCTCAGAGACTCCTGGGAAAATCTTCTGACTGATGAGACAGAAGCTGAACTTTCTGGAAGGTTTGAGTCCCGTTACATCTG